ATTTTGAGTCATACAGACTGTGATAGTACATACACTTACATAGAAGACGAAATACACTTCTTACTTGAATGCAAGCTGTATGAAAATGAGAGAACTGAAATGTTGAAGGAAATAAATTTAATCAGAGGTACATTACTTGGGGTTTGCAACTACGGTGACATGGTACCAAGATCCCGTCACAATCTCGCTCTCGCATAAGCGTTCCAACTCAGAAAAATGCGAATGCGCATGCCCGAGGTAACTAGGATACTGGGATGTCCAGGTGGATCAAAATAGCTGCCCACGATATGACAGATTACGAGAACTATATTTTCTGTACATTTTCGATGTATTACATTTTTCACTATGATAGCGACAAGAAAAGTTTTATTTTTTCATTACAAACCTTGAACATTGATATGTGTCATGTCAGAAGGTCGTAGCCTCAGTCTCGCTATCTACGAGAAGAGACTTGAGTGGGATCTTGACATGATGTCACCATACAGTACTATGCGAGTTGCAAACCCCAAGTAATTTACCTCTGATTTAATACATTGCAACAACACAAATGCCAATAAATGGATTACAATACTAACAAGCAATAACAGCCAAAAAATAACAAAACTAGCAAGCTACATCTATAATTGTTTCAGTGCCAGAGAAAATCATTTAAAAAAAACTACCAGCTGCCCCTATAATAAATAAACTATTTTTTTATTTTTTTTTTATTATTATTATTGCTGGGAAAGGATTGACCAGCTTTGTTATTAGTCCAAGAAAATTGTTCAGCTTGGAATGTGTCTGAACCCCTCATTAGTATGCAAGAATGTAGGAATATACCAAGAAAATTGTTTTTCTGGAGTAAATTGTAGTGTATTTTACTTATGGACGGTCAAAAAGTGCATGGAGATTTTATGAAAATGTGTGGATGTTAACAGAATGATGTCACAGTTGCGCAATAAATGATGGACTATTTTGGGCGTAGCTATAAAATGTGTCACCAAAGTACTCACACGTGTGCATAGATTCCAATAGTTTGTGCTGTGAAGAAACTCCGTTAGAAAATAAGTATTGTGTAATTTGTAGTGATAATGTATTCAAATAGATTTATGTTTATGAATCTTGTTTCTTTTCAAAGTGTATTTATATAATAAAAATTGTTTATGAAAATGTTTTTTATACCTTTTCGATGGATTGAATTTACAAATGATGAGTTATTTTGTTATACCATCACTCGAATTGTGTGTTACGAATTTCTGATAGTTTAGGCTTTAGACATTTACTGGTGTACAGTGGACATCGATAAAAGCGAACGTATTTTGAAAGTTGTGAAATCATGCTACTGTTTTGGCATTATACAACTTGCAGTTCCCTTTTGACGGATTTTGTGTGGCTGTGGTATCGAACTGTAGTATTATGTAAATCAGTCCCGGGAAAATCTGTAAGCAAAGTTTAATTTGCCATTTTCACGCTACGTTATAACGTGGAGTCGTCATCTGAGTATGCACGATTGTTCGTGTCGTGTTCCCCAACGCATTTCAAAACATTAGTCAAACTGTAATAGTGTGTAAATTTTCCACAACGTGGAGTTGCCATCGTCTCTTGTTTATCAACCCATTTAAATACGAGGACTGAAAAGTGAGTTCCATTGACTTCGTCTGTTATAAATCAGTTTATTGTATTAGCTTCCTTCGAACTTCCTATTTCCATCGGGATTATGTCTGCTACACTCAGCAGTGTAGTGCGTATCGATCTTCTTGTATGAAACGAACCCGGAAATCGATGGCAAATCGAGATGGTCTCGTCGTGTAGTTTCTTACCTTGTTCTTGACCGCAGTGCGCTTGACTATGAACTACACATACCCACGCTTATGGGAATAGTGCATCGTGGGTAATAATGTATTGATCGAGGTTAAACAAACATGGCTGCCGTAATGACTGTCCTAAAGAAATTTCTTTTGCAGTCACGCTAGTTTTCGCGATCACATTGAAAATTGATCACGTTTAAATTGACAATTAATTATATTTTTTTTTTGTAAAACAAAAAAGAAGTCCCATCTTTGCCAGTTGAGTTGTTCGACTACTTCGCTGGTGTTTCTCTTCCTGTCTTAGAGTTCTCTGTTTTCTTTCTGATTTTTTTTTATTTCAATTAAACAGTGATTTGGCTGTGGCCATGCATTTAGTCATTGTCGGCTGTTTTTTTCGAATTGGTTGATTGTCATAGTCAATACGCTAAGTACAATATTAAACGTCCCGAGTTTAACAGTAGTCATTTCTAAGGTTCAAAATAAATAAACAAACATGATTATTTAATTTAGTTTAATTCCTTCAGTTAAAAATTGAGTTTCCAAAATAAATAAATAATAACACGTACCCTCATGTATACTTCAAGTTTTCATTAAAACAAAGTCAGAGTCTTTGAAATTGCTTTTCTGCCTGTTCGCCAATCCGTTGCTCCAAAACACACCTTTAAATACGCTTTATTTTCCCAGCATCGAGATGGCTCTGCCAACTCTTGTTATTCTTTTAAATTTTAGTGCTTCCAGTTTGTTACTTCCTCAGTTTTTCATCTTTATTGTAATTTTCTTTTTCTGAGTCAATATCCAAATAAGGATATGATTATGCAATAACAATTATTATTATTATTATTGTTACATAAATGTCTGAGGCATGTCTACTGTGACCAAAATAAAACACATTAGTTATGTGTGCTATTCACTATAATAAAACAAATATGCTAATTCATATTATGATTTTTACAGACTCAATACAAAATAACCCCCCCCCCCTCCCAAATTGACATCATTTGTTCACTGTTCTAATTATACCCCAAAATAGAAGATTATAAAATTAGTTAAAGACTAAGTAAGTGTTAGTGAATCAATGGAGTGCATGTTAACTATGGATAAACATTGCCAGGTTTTCTGATATGTGTATGCCCCGTAGATTAAGATAAAGTCACGTATTCAGCAGGAAATGTCTCTCCTAAGTGACCTTTCATTCCAGAAAAAAGTTATGATGACGCTTGTGTATTTTTTTTTTGTACATAATATTTTGTCAATTGAGTACTGTATTTTCTCCTTTAGCAGCACATGCACTTGCATAAATTATGTTCAAAAAAGGTTGTATTTTAATGATTCAATATACACCAAATGCAATTTTGGGTATGTATGTATACATGTATACACTTTTGTTGAAGATGCCCTTTCAACACAGAGCCAACTTTTATAACCTTTTACAAATAACCCTTCACAATATTTTCTTATCATGACCTGTATACAAAATTCTGTCCATTTTACCCAAAATTAACAAAGAAAAATACATAAAAAAATGTTGTACTGATATGTTGGCGGGAAAGGCTTTCATCGGTTACACCAAAATATAAATATTATATTGCTTGACAGAAACTAAAATTTATTTAGAAATTTTTTTTTTTTTTTTGGTCTTTTAGAATTTTTTTTATTCATATAATATTTAAAAAAAACACTATTACTTAAAAATAATCTTACATGTCAAAATGATTTAAAAAAAAGATAATTAACAACAATAAAATGAAGTACATATAATAATAGAAAGAAGGGGGAGTCAAAGAAAAAATGATGGGGGGGGGCTGTTGTTGTTGGTGTAAACTTATAAAATTATCTTACAAATATCCTTCAATCACTTGCAGTACTAGAATTTATCTTTTAAATTTCATAGTTATAATGCTAGTACATCATCCATCCTCTACAATTGCTGTAGACACTCATCTCTCTTATTAGGTTTGTTTCCTTGCCCTAAGGGGTCGGAAACATATTGTTACATTATATTCTCTGTATTTTCACTCTGTCTGTACAATATAATTTAAACCATGCTTGTTTTATAAAAAAAGTCTAATTCTAAATTATTAAACATGAGATCTCTAACTAGTAGAAATGTAAATTTCAAATTACTAAAAATTCTTGATATTTTTCTGAGCGAAAGGTTTCATTAAATAATGAAAACGAACAATAAAATAAGGAGTATCCAAACATGTGTCCATTGACAAATTTGTTATTAATTGCATCAAGCCCAACCATTTTGGCTGTTTTAAATTAAATAATAGCCAAAATACATACAATTATTATGTATAACTGTTTTTATAGCTGTTTAGTATTATCTGGGCTTTCCTATAATAGTTTTAGTTGAATTGTTTGTCTTGGACAATTCCCTATTTGTTTAGCCAAATAGCTACTAGGCTACGAGTACTGGGGGTACCTTGTTTCATTTTTTTGTACAAATCATAACAATCAAGCATTTCTGGCATTCCGGATCCAGATCACAGCTGTTTACATATAGATTTTGTTCAAACTTGGTACATACATTGAACATTATAGGACCTCAATGCACTCCATTTTGTTTTTCTGATCAGAATCCCATTCGGCCATTTTGTTTGAATGAATGTGGTTCAGGTGACATATCTCTGACATGCTTTGAATGATTATATTAAAATTTTAAATATTTATTATACATCATGTCGCATAGATATACCAGATTCGGCCACCCATTCTTAAACCTACCCATGGGCAGGGTTTCAAATAGTGGCCGCTGTTTTGGTCCACACAGCCTGAGTGGCAGAAATAATCAAGCATCAGCTTTTGGATCCATATTTCTGACATGTTTATGTTCTAACTATATTACTTAAAAACAAAACTATATATCTTAAATTTGATTACTAATGGGGACTGTGCCATGCATGGCTTGTTAATACTAAATTAGTCTATTATTATCTCGTATACTGACCATACACTACAAAATCATTCAGAAACAACTCACCTGGTCACATGACCAGTGATTTGCATATCCAATGTGATTGTATATATTATGACTGTAGCAATACATGTCCATAACAATTCCTTTTGTGATCAGATAAAAAACAGACTTGCGGCTATCTTGCTTTTTGGCCATTCAACTTTTTGGCCATTCTACTTTATCCTAGGCATGAATAACATTTCCCATGAATGCAACGGGATGTGTCATTAACAATGACTTGTTTCTTACAGGATTAAAAAAGAACCTATTATAACAGTTGAAAAAATGGAGGCAGCTCTCTATGCAAGCAAGAAAGGTGAGTAGGTTTTGCAGGATTAGCAAGCATACACGTGTTGTGTTGTCTCTTCAGATGTCTTCACTATATGGCTGAGACAAAAAAAATAACTCTGTTTCTCGTTTCTTCACGCATCATTTTGAACTATGCGCCTCAAACGTTTTTTTTTCTTCTAAAGCATTCCAAAATGCGTTTGTACTCGCACTTGTCTCAAATTTCCCCCATTTTAGCTCAGTATTAAAAAAAAACAAAAACAAAAATACGCCTCGCCGCCTCATTTTAAAATTTCCATGAATTGAGAAACAGAGAATTTGTTTTTCCTGGCCTAAGAAGTCTATATATCAGTCATGTTTACAGACATGTATGATGACATGAATATTGTAGTATTTGGAGTTCATCAGTCAATATCTACATGTAGCATGAAGCGTGTTCATTGCAAAAAAAATAAAAATATCTGTGTGTTATGAAAAAGATTCTATATTTTAATAATAATTATCAATCACTACCGGTATATTGATTTCAGTCTTCTGACTACATACAACAATTTTTGTCCCCAAACTAGCGTCTTTTGAACATATTTTTTGTCATCTGGCATGTCTAGGACCTTTATGTACCGACATCACTCACGTTGGGTTACTGATGCATGTCATACTGTTGGTGTTTCAATTGAAAACGGTCATCATTTTTAGCTTCGCTATCATCGAAGATGAGCGAACAAAGCTCATGGGTTGACTGGACCTGTCGTCATTTGTCCATCCTACGTCGTTCGTCAACTTTTATTCAAGCGGCTTCTTCTCCCAAACCATAAGCTATTGCTATTGCTATTTATTATAGCACAACTACCTGGGGTGGTCCTCTGTCACATCCGAATCTCTATTTTTAGAAAAAAATGATTTTTTCAACAACTGCATCTCAGATTGCATTGCAATGCAGCATGAATGTTCTTGACATGGACTAGACTCTGACTTACTAATTTCATGAGACCATATGCAAGTGTCTATTTTTAGTGAATATTTTTTGGGTTTTTTTGGCTCATTTTTGCATATTTTTGACCTCTTCTCTAAAACCGCCTGCCAGATTGCTTTGAGATTCATGATGTAGACACATGGACTGGTCCTCTTTCAAATTGTTCATTTGGTGAAGATAAGAATTTTCTGCGAATATTTTTTTTTATTTTTCCAACTTTCCCATACATTATATATGGGCTATGTATAATACATGGACAAATGTATTGTTGGGTACTAAATTACCTGGGCCAATGTTTTTCAATAATGTTGAATTTCAGGTCAAGGTCATTTTAATTCTTATAAAGTTTTGTTGCTATTAGACAACTGTAACAGTTGGAAGGTATCCTTTTTCAGTACACATTGTGTTGGGTACTGAACTACCTGGTATCTCAAGTACTAATTATTCCATTTCAATGAAACATTGTAGAAAGTTGCTCTAGGACAATGCACAGACCTGATTAGTTTTGGATTTAAATCTGTTAATATTAATTCTCTAATTAGCATAATAATTCATAATTTTTTGGTTCTCACATTTCACATTTCGATGAAACTTGGTAGAACTAAAGTACAATTATTTTTTAATGTGTCTTCAATATTCTTAGATTATTTGGTCCAATTTTTGTTATTCAATTTGTTATGTAATGCCACATTTGATTTGTAATTTATGCAGCTCATATTTATTTATTTATTTATTCATTCAAATAGTGAGCCCCTGATTCGAAAGGGTTGCAACAAACAAATAAATAAACAAACTTTCACAAATTTCATGTTTTTGGGTTTTATGAAATTTAACCGACTGGGGCCATTTATGTCCTCCCAAAAATGTCTCTCAAAAATGTTACTTATTGCATATTGACTTCTTTTGTGATTTGATTGAAAATGCACATTTACACAGTGCAATAGTGCCCTCTATAGTAACCATTTCCCTGACATGTCTTGACAGATTTTATTCAAAAATTAATAGTTATATATATATAGGAAATAGTTTTGTTTCATCAAATCTTCAGTCACCGAAATACAGATAGGAACTATATTATTGCTATGACTAGTACTCAAGAAACTGTGTTTGAAAGAAAAAAACAGACCAACAGAATAATGCTCCCAGGTGAACATTTTTAATAAAATCTATTTTCTTAACAAAAATATGTATGATGTCATATTTTACCCATAATCTCTTGCTAGAGTATCAAGTGAACTACCTATTTTAACATACCAAGTTGACATCTGCTCAATTTTGCTGTCTTCAAGTACCATTCAACAGATTTTAATGAAACTTGTTACATAGCTACACTGGGATAATGTGCTGTTTTTGGTTGAAATACGTGTGTATTAATGACTAATTTGCATATTAATTAGCCAACCACTCATTCAATGATACATAGATGCTAAGGGATACTGTAGAATACTTTATTTTCGCTTGGAATTTATTTTCGCTGAAGGGATGCTTCAGTGAAAATAAAATCCAGCGAATATACTTTTTCCCCTATTTCTCACATTCAACTCATCAAAAATCATGAAAAAGTAAATTCCACACAAAACACCCAAAAAGCCTTTTCAGCAAAAATTAATTCCAGATAAAATAAAGTATCTCACAGTACATCTTTTATTTTGTAGTTTTTTATGTGGTACCGGTGTCTGTGACCCTGTGACTAAAATTTGTTCCACTATTAACTCAAGATCTACAATTTCAATTCAAATGAAATATATGATGAGTAGATGCGCTGATTAGATTTTGGTGCAATTCCATGCATATTAATTAGTCAATTATTGCATTAATTCGTCCCCATTCATACGCAGTATCTGTATCTTAGAAATGCCTGGACCAATCACAATCAAACTTCACACATACATCATACATGATATTATACATATGCACGTCAGTTTGTTTCACGATCTGATTCAAGATGGCCGAATGGCGGCCATTTTTGTGTTAAAAAATCATAAAAATCAACCATTTCTCGGCTGTTTACAGATGGATTTTGTTCAAACTTGGTATATGCATTAGACATTATGGGACCTTGATGCAAATAATTTTGTTTTTCAGATAAGATTCAAAATGGCCGACTGGTGGCCATTTTGTTTTAATGAATGTGGTTCTCGTGCCATATCTCTGACTTGCTTTCACTGATTATGTTCAAATTTTAAATATTCATTATACATCATGTCATAGATAGACAGAGATATTGGTTTGATGATCCAATTCAAAATGGCTAAATGGTGGTCATTTTTGTGCTAAAAAATCAGCAAATGTCAAGCATTTCTGGCATTTATGGATGGATTTCGTTCAAACTTAGTACATGTATTAGACATTACAGGTTCCTAATGCACGCCATTTTATTTTTCAGATTGGATTCAAAATGGCTGACTGGCGGCCATTTTGTTTTAATGAATGGGCTTCTAGGCTTCCATATCTCAGACTTGTTTTGACTGATTATATTCAAATATTAAATATTCATTATACATCATGTCATAGATATACAGATATATTGGTTTGACGATCCTATTCAAAATGGCCAAATGGTGGTCATTTTTGTGCTAAAAAATCATCAAATATCAAGCATTTCTGGCATTTTATGGATGGATTTCGTTCAAACTTGGTACAAACATTAGACATTGCGGGTTTCTGATGCACGTCATTTTATTTTTCAGATTGGATTCAAAATGGCTGACTGGCGGCCATTTTGTTTTGATGTTTGGGCTTCTAGAGCCATATCTCTGATGACTGATTATATTCAAATTTTATATATTCGTTATACATCACGTTTTTATATATACATGTATTCAAAATGGCTGATTTTGAACGCTGTTCCAGAGCAATATCTCTCAATATGGACAAGTACTTGTTTGACGATCAGATACAAATGTCAATTTTAATGTTAAAAAATCATATTCCTGACATGGTTATGTTACAGCCATATTACTATAAACAAAACTTTTTATCTTAAATTTGATAACTAACAGGGACTGTGCCATGCATGGCTTGTTAATTTATAACTTAGAGTCTTTAAAGTTTCTTAACAAATATTTGACTAGGGTGAGTAGCCTAATTTGCATATTGCAATAACGTATTCTGTCGCAAAAAAAAACTGGTAATATTTCATTGGAAGGTCTGCAAATTTGCGAATTTTAGTATATGATGATTTATTATATCATGATTAATGTTATTTGAGCAGATACAGCATCCAAAAACATCAAATGTATGCGAGTATGGGGAGTACGCATGCGCAGTTACAAGAGTGATGCGGCCATTTTTCCGGTTTGACGAAAAGGCAGTACCCTTTCCGATTTTCATGAACGCAAGTTAAATTTCACTTTGT